GTTCCCTCAGCCTCTCCTCAGAAGTCATGTGCCCCAGCCGCCCTACCCATTTTGTTGCCCTACTATATGGTCCTCCAAATTCTATCTTTTAAAATCTTCCTCCCCACAAAGAATTACAAATGCCTGTTTTTTAAATTCAGATGAATTTTCTATTTAAGCTTGTAAGAATGGATGCCAAGGTATATGGTGCACTGTGTGATTATATGGACTTTTGGAGGACTGCTGAAGGCAATCTGGAGTCATCATTATCATATCCAAGGTATCAATACGCACATGCTGCCTCTTCAATTTTAGAGTTCCTTTACCTCCTCCTAATTATATTTACATCTCAAGCCAATGATGATAACAACTATTATCTATCTTTGTAGTTCTTTTCACCCCTTAAGGATCCCAAATGCAATGTGTTTCTTGCTGTAATCTAAAGGCAGCCCCCTTTCTGATGGAACAGGGCAGCTTTTTAATAACTCATAGCACCTCTACACAACAGCATGGCACAGACACTGAAGAGGGAGGGAGTAAAGAAGTGATGTCAGAGGGAATTTATTTAGTCATAAAGTAATTACCCAGACTGGAACTGGACTTGGAGCTAACCCCTGTAATGGGATGGAACCACGAATGACATGGTTTCAGGGCGGCTTTGTGTCTGAAGTCTCAGTCCTTGAGGTGTTTAAATAAAACTAAACTGATACAGTACTAACGAATGTGCTTAATCAATCAGTACTAACAGGGAGTGGATCAGGTAAGTTAATGACCCTTTTCTATTTCTAATTTCTATGATTCAGTTATCTTAGTTTTACAGAAGATGGTAGATTTGCATCTCATAGATCAAAAAACAAACAAACAAACAAAAAAAAACAAAGATCTATATAGTTTAAGCATCTGTGCTTAACAAATTAAGCAAATTCAGCCTGTGGATGATTTCTTATTACCAATTTCCTGTTTATAAGTTGGTTTTTAAAATTTTACTGCCTAAGAATTGTTACCTCGAGGTCAGTGATGGATCGTCTGGGGAGGTCAAAGTGTTCTGCCATAGGCCTGTGTCCTTCTGGATCTGATGGCAAGTCAGTGTTTATTCATTCTTACATGTAGGGATTCATCCAATATAGACAGCAGAGGTGTCCTATTAGCAGATGGTGGTATACACATTCAGAGGACCTCCACCTCCAACCCCAGTGTTCATGCAGTGATCAGAAAGATTGCCACATAGGAATCATCAGTCCCATTCACTGTATCATTCTTACTTTAGCCTCTAAACAAAGGCCTCCAAATACTGCATCCCTTAGTTTGAGAGACCTAATGAAGTCACACATACCAAGATAGTAAGGATTCAGTCTTACCCACTGTCACGGAGCGGGACCTAGGGGCGGCCGTGATCCCTCTAGC